TGCCAACGCTCCCGTGTCAAAACAACAAAATAAAAGCCACAGTAAACAGCCCCGGAGCCAGAACAGCTTTTATTCGTGTCAAACTTATTGTCGAGGATCGTCAGGCGGCTGCAGAGTGACCCGTCAACGCTAACGATGACAAACGAGTGGGCTGATGAAATTTCACGATGATCGCATCGAGATGTGAAAGTGGCCCGAGGAGTTTGTGTGCGGTGCGTTTACGAGACTTGAGGGGAAACGGTGATTACAAATGAATGCACTCGACTTCATGTCCGCAGCCTCCGTCGAAAACAATTCTGTGAAAAAGCGGCCGCGTGCCCCGGTTGTAAATGAGGCGGGAAAAACCGACTGGAGCTCAGGCTCATTGTTGGCACCTTTGTGATGCAGCGCTGATATTCTCGGGGCGAGGGGAAAAGTGGAAGACGTGTGGAGGCAAATAACTCTCATAAAAGGGCCTCGGGAGATTAATGCCAGTCGTCTCTGTTGAGATCATTATACACGTTCCAAACCTTTACTGGAGTCCCTGTGCCGGCGGTTGGTGGTCAGCGGGTCCACCCTGCCGCTGTAGGAGCACTAACGTGCCAGCTCACACCACACCGACCTCCATTCTCAAGTTTAAAAGTAGCACTGGTTTACCGAATCCTCTTGGCACCTTATTATAGCCCGTCTTGGTTCATTGATGGTAAATTCAACCCAGGACCCCCTTTCAACCAGGAACTGAGGCCAGATTGTCCAGTGCACGACATGTAATTAGCCTTTTTATACCGCGCTGTTGTACTGTTGGTGGAGTAACACACTACTATGTTCTCTATAGATGTTTTTTATTTTTTTAAAGTGCTTTATAAATAAATCTGATTTGATTTGACCTGACTTCTCTTGACCAACATCCTCTGGGCTCAAAGCTGGTTTAAAAGCCACGGCCTCATGTTGGTGTTCAGTGCGTCAAACCGATACTTGTCACAGGTGCCCGCTCGCATTCCGTCAAACGTACACAAGCACATGGTAACACGTGGGGAAGAAGGCGTGAGTGACTGCTGATTAACTGTCTGGACAGCTCATGTTTGACTCACAGACAAACCAATGGGTTGTGAGCTTCATGGATTTGGACTTGAACCTGCCTCTGTTCTCACAGCTGGAGCTGGAAACAGTGAACTAGACTCACTTCAGTTAGATTAGTAGGTTGCATTTGTGAAAAGCAGCAAGTGGCTGGTGTGCAGGTGAAGTACTGACCAGGTGCTTTAGACAGAAGGTGAAACAGAAAAAAAAGAGATCATGCCCTCAGTTTTGTGTCTGCAATAAAACCTGTTGTAATTTACTTTTTCTGGCCACTTGGGGGCAGTGCAACAAGCTGTAAACATAATATTGACATATCATCGACAAATGACTAAACTTAATAAGGAAGTAGCCTCCGTGACATCAACCATAGGTTTCTGAAGAGGTGTTGTGATAATAAATTTAAGCCTTAACATCAACTGGGTGAGTGATGACAAACACTTTATTAGAGCAGCTTTAAATTTGTACATAAGTATGAAATAAGGCGATTTAGTATTTCTGCAAGTTCATTCACTAACCTTTCAGAAAATGATCCAATAATATGTAAATATTGTACAAACGCACATTTGGTTATTGGATGCAGTTTTACATAAGCTGACATTACACCTTTAAAATAAAGTGAAACATAGACAATAAAAAAGGTATAGAAAAACCACATGTCCATATTGAGCAAAAACTTTATTTTTTATTTTGCGAGGGCAATTTTAGCGTCAGCTGGCTCTCTTCGGACTGAACCACCGAGGAGAGCGTTATGGCCTCTTTTTACTGTTTCACCCCCTACAGATAACACCGGTATTAATGACTACGCCATGAAAAACTAGAAACCACCTGTCACGTTTGCCAAAAGCCAAAACAACAGCCATCACCTTCTTCTTTTCACGCTACATCAATGACACGGCCCATAAAAGTAGAAGAAGTAAAAAAAAAACCCGCGGGTCTTTATCCCAAAAGTCATGGAGTAATAATGAGTCTGTCATCCCGCCGTAGCGCGGCCTCCTCAAGTGGAGCAGGTAAATATTTAGTGAGGACTGTGATTCATCTCTGTCATTGAGAAATAATGGAGAGCCGCAAACACTAATGTGAGACGGGGGATACGCCAGAACATGCTCTGCAGAGGAACACTGTTTGCGTTTGCTCCAATGCGATTGACTCCATTCTTCCGCCGTGTGCTAACCAGTCTTGATCTTGAGTTTAACGCTGCGATCTGGAGTCGTTTTAACGGCTGCATAAAGTATTTTATAGTTCAAATAACGTCGTTTGATCCTTTTAAAAAACAAAACTGTCTGCCGGTGTGAAACCACAGTATTCTGCCAGAGAGAGAACCTGACTCGTGTTCATGGATCTGTTTTCCATTAGGAGCTAACGAGTAGCTCGGTGAGCGGCCGGGGAAATGTTTTTCCCGCGGGCTTCATTAAAGATGGATCCCCTTGAGATGGTAATGTCAGCCACGCTGGGTGACTTTCCTGCGGGTCAGCCGGCGGGAGGATCCTTGCCTCCGCACTTGCATCCACGTGGTAAAACATACATCTGTGTCAACATATGCGTGAGTGACGGTCAAACAAGGGGCACCGTAGGAGCGCAATGAGGAGGGAAAGAAGGCCTCCATATGCGGACGAACGTGGAGGGGAGGGGACAGTTTGCTCCTCCAGGGAGAGAGAGCCTTCGCCTGTCAACACGGGAGACGGGGACGGGGACGGGGGGGGGGGGGACGGCTGCTCGCGGGGTCAGTGGGAGCGGCTTCAAATCCTCCCTTTTGCTCTCCGGCCTGCGTCGGAGACAATGTGGATAATGAGGGAGGAATTTGGCGCAGGGTTGCAGTGCGCGCACACACACACACACACACACAGACACACACACACACACACACAGGGGAAGCACCTCGCCCCGGCCCCGGGGAGCCCAACCAGCCAGCTGTCTCAGCTTCTGTCTCCCCGGGGCAAGACACTTAATACACAAGGTCCACCATCAACGGACATGATTGATGTCCCCCGAATACAGTGTGTGGGCTGTTCAAAAACTCCCATCTCCGATTCAGAGTGAGCCATAACGTCTGGGTCAACGACAGATTCCCGAGTCTCCCTCGCTTTCTCGGTCGCTGCAAGAACATTGAGATGTTTCTGAGTAAACATGGGTTGAAATATTTTAAGGTTCAGCCATAAAGAAGCGAGACGTTATTCATCTCCCGAGCGGCTCCACCTGGTCACCTTCCAGCTCATATTCTTTATTTATTGCCTTCATTTAAAAGAGCGTCAGGTTTACAAGCGTGTCCTGCTTTGCTCATATAGTGCCCGATGCCTGCAGCCAGTGGCGTACGGGAGTTTTGACGGGCCGCAGTGCACGCTGGTTGCTAGTTATGAAGCACACACACAGGGAGGGGGGGACGAAAAAAAAAAGCCAAAGGTATCAGAATTTAAGGAGCTTTGCTACCCTCCTGTTCTTTTCTTCCGTGTCTTTTCTTACTGCTGCTTTTGTGTTGGAAGGCGTGACTGCTCGCTCGGCCTGCAGATGTGCTCAGCTAGATTTTTAGCCCAAACTAGCTCAGAGACGGTTCAGAAAGAGACAGTTTCCTGTATCTGTGTCACATGGGTTCCACCCATAGACCTGTATATAAGAAGTGGATGTAGTCATCGTGACGTCACCCATTTGTTTGTGGAATGATGCTTTGAAGCCTCAAGTTCGACGATCTTGGATTACGGTTGTCGTAGTGACGCCGGATACGTCTCTGGTAGCGGCAGAGACCTCTCAATCAAAGAAAGCCCGCCCTAAAGCACACTCCGCTTTATGGTCTATTTGACTCTAAATGGACCATCATTTACTAAATGAACATCATGCTGTATTGAAGAAGACTTGAAACTAGAGATTGAGAGCATAAACTCATGTTTACAATGTTTACTGAGGTAATAAATCAAGTGAGAAGTATTTCCTCATAGACTTCTATACAATCAGACTTATTTTTGCAACCAGAGGAGTCGCCCCCTGCTGGTCAGTAGAGAGAATGCAAGTTTTAAGACACTTCCACATCGGATTCATTGGGCAGAACCGGAGGTTACCGCCTGGTTTCACCAGTGCCCCACCCCGTTAAGAGACTATGGCGGCAGGTGCTGAGTCTATTACTTCCAATGGGAGATGTAAACCTGAACACAGACTATGACCGATTCCTTCGCTCCATTGTCACAAAAGTAAATCTTTTTTTTACTTTTTAACAAATCTGAAGAAGAAATTGACTTTGTTTGAGACCTCACTGGCGAACGTGCCATCCATGACCACGCCCACATAGGAGACAGGAAGTGTATTCCATCAAACAATTGGCTGAGCTTTTAATGCCTCATCCTTGTTACAGAGTATCTTTTTCTACATATCGTCTCGTCACATGATCAAAAATAAACTTTACACCAGACAACATCCACTTATACATTACCCAGCAGACATCATCACATATCTTCATATGACAAATATACCAAACAAAATAAGAAATTATTCATATAGTGAAATACATATAGTATTCATAATATTTTGTGGGAGACTTGAATAAATGAATTGCATTGCTGGTCGACAGCTTGGGTCCGTGTTTATTTCCTGTCAGCGCATGTCATTCACGTGCACTGTAACAGGAAATGAACCGGGACACATTTGACAATTGTGGAGAATGTCACAGTAGAAAGACGGACTTGTAGTGAGACAGCTGTGGGGGTATCGCGGTGATTCATTTTCACTTTGTGTTCAGGTAACAGAAGGACGGTATAAACATCTCATTCGCAGCTGCTCCTGAGTAAATGAGGGGAGCAAAACAAACCGCAACACCTTTTAAATCACCCGGTGTAAATGTGACGTCCCAAAGCGGGACCCGGGGGGACTTTTCGGGCGACCCCCCTCAATAGAGTGGCACAGTGAAGAAAACGTCATTGTGAGTTGGGACGAGACTGTTTCTCAGTGACTTAAAACGGGAACAAAATTATGGAAACACCCGCTGTGGTTTTATCGATATCAGACGTGTCATCCAACTGGTGTATGTGGCCTCACGTGCGCACGCTAGTCTGCTGGGACTCACTCGGCGGGGGAGGAGGGACTCTCATTGGACGCTGCGCAACAAGTCGCCGGGGCGCAAGAAGTGGATGATGGACGAGCGAAAACGGCAGCACCGAACGGCGTGCAGTAGCAAATTATGCTAAGTAATGACAGTAACTACCTCAGACACACGTTTCGCTCGCGCCGCCGCTTAAGAAAGGATGTGTCGCAGTAAAGTTTATCCGGACTTTGAAAGCGCGCCGTCGGAAGTTTTTTCTCTCTCTCTCTCTCTCACCGAAACGGGAGAACACTTTGGAGGACTTCTTCTATCACAGCTAGGCAAAGATGCAGCGCTTCCCCACCGATGATGGTTAACTTTCCTCTCGGCGTTTAACGGCTGAAGGTTTCCAGGAGGGGGGGCAGAAAGGGGGTTAGGGGGACGCAGCAGGTGAGATTCGGACCGCGGCTGTAACGTGACCGGAGGGCGACGACGTGAAATGGTCCCGACCTGTCCCAGAGGCTGGGAGGAAATAACCTGAAAGTAATAATAAAAAGAGAATCTCAGTCCACCATGAGAGCGCTGACGTTGCTGTGCCTCGCGGTCGGGCTGTGGGAGTCGAGCCTGAGCAACAGGAACTGCCCGGACCTGATCGTTGACAGCTGTCACTGCTCGGCGGAGAGGACCAAGGAGCTGAGCAGGCAGCACGTCCGCAGAGTCAAAGTGGTGTGCGAGGACGTGGACCTGATGGACACGCTGCAGACCAGCTTCCTGCCCAACAGAACCGTGTCCCTGTGAGTATCGGTTCCGGTCCACTGTGCTGTGTGATATTTGTTGTTGTTTTATTTTTGTTTGGAAAGCGATTACAGTGAGCAGTCAAAAGTTCATTTTTGTCCTTGAATTCGAAGAGACCCCGTCTAGAGGATGGGGCCCTTGAGCGCCCTTAAAGGGCCCCTGGAGATCCTTAAATCCCCACTCAAGGGGACCCTGAACGAGAGCATTAACCGCTCTGAATTGATTCCACAAGGTTAAAGAGCTCTGACACAATTCATCAGGAGCTCTGTTATCCAGGATGAACGGGTTCATTAGAGGGGTTCCACACCAATCAAGTAAATCAATACACCGCGGCTTATATTCCACAGAATATTAATCTACATATATAATATAGGTCCGTATGTTGGCCATAGAATGAAATATCACTCCCCAACGACAATCATATGGAAGTACTGTGGTCATACCTCAAGAGAGCAAAGCAAAACACAGAATATTCACCAGCATTGGGTACTGATTCAATGTAAATAATTGGTAATGATTAGTAATTACATCCTTTGTTTATAAGACCAAACACTTACTTATTTAATTGATGAGTCAGGACAGGAAACGGATTGCCAACAACTCTGATAATTGATTTATTGTTCCAGTCATTTAATAAAGGAAACAGTCCAAGCTGCTTTCTCTATATATCATGTTAAATGAAATACGTTTCAGACTATTGCTCAGACAAAATAACAACAGGCAAACAAGTTATCAAAAAGATAACCAACGGATTTATAGATGATGAAGAATATTATTTAATCTAGATCAGGGGTCACCAACCTTTTTTAAACTGAGAGCTACTTCAAGGGTACCGAGTAGTACGAAGGGCTACTTGTTTGATACAAACTTCCTGAATAACAAAGTTGCACAGATCACCTTTTAATAATGATAATATATGTGAAGAGACTGTTTGATCACATGCCAGTTAATTATTCCTCACAATAATTATTAAGAATGATTTCCACAACAATGATGGTATAGCTACACATACAGATTTAAACATGCAACTTTTATTTCTGTTAATCTGTTCCAACATTTGAAAGTCAGAGGTATCACGTCTGATATTTTTGTATCATCACATGATCAAAGCCGGTTACTTTTGCACATAGCGCCTGCTGGTGAATGATGCAGTGGTAATGTCGACATTTTGGGAAGTCTGGGTCACCTTTGCATTGCGCAATGAAGCCTGCATGCCGGCCCGTCATCGCGGGAGCCCCGTCTGTTGTCACCGACACAAGCTTTTCCAACGGTACCTTTTTCTCCACGAAGAAACTAGTAACCAGTCTGGTCTATAGCCGAGCGGGGGATCCAACCCTCCGAGGCGCGCGAGCGTCTTCGGGCGCCCGCGTTCAAACCTCTAGTCTGGGCCTTTTCGGTCGGATTGCGTTGCCTCGCCTCTACCCCCGCCACCCCTGAGTTGTTGCCCCGCGGCCTGTTTCCGAGGATTTACGGACCTGACGACGGGGTGCGCTCGCTGCGCGCGTCTGGCGCCAACGGGAAGCGCCCGCCATTCGGAACCTGAAAACCTAGTGCGGTGGCCTCGTCGCTGTCCGCCGTGCGCCTCCGGGTCCCCAACTCTCTTATGACAAGAAATATTGTCATTTTAAAATCTACACTAATGCAAGCGTTTTTGATTAAAAAAGAACAGCAACTACAATTTAAGACGGAGCTCCATGGTGACTAGTGCTATTTTTAGAACATGCCTTGCGGGCGACTCACGTGGTTCCCGCGGGCGACAGGGTGCTCGCGGGCACCGTGTTGGCTACCTCTGATCTAGATGAAGAAATGGTAACAGAGATAATCAATTCAAACAGCGTCAGAAACAATAGCACACATTTGTAAAGAAAAGTCATCTTAATTTATCCTATTTAAATCCTACAAGTTCAGTATCTACTGGCATCTAAAGCAGGTCTGGGATCTGCTCTGATGGGATGAGATTTGACTAGTGAGGCAGCTTCCTGTAGTGTGTACTTCTCTTCTTGCTGCTGTGATGAACACCATATTTACGGCGGCCATGCTTGTCTGCACCGGAAGACCCTCAGCGGTCCCCGCAAACCCACGCTTGAGACCCCTGCGTGAGCCCCTATGCTGCTTTACGGGGGGGGGGGGGGGCCATAGATCTGTAGCGCTTCGACGGGGGACCTTTAGTATTCACCTGTAGATGAAATAGCACTTCAAATGCTCGAGGGGTTGATAACTCTCACCCCCTCTGCAGGTGCGCGGATCGACTGCTAGATTAATAGAGCGTTTTATTCTTGGAAACTTGACGTCTGCCTTTTCCCGAGAGTGGAAGCAAAACACGGAGACGTCGAGGCCCTCGACAGGTTGCAAGACGACCGCTCGCTCTGAACCGAGGGCCCGGTTTATTAGTGTCAATTTATATGGAGCGCTGTTTTGCTTCCGTGCGGGGGGAGCTGCTTTTGTTCCTTTTTAAGTGGGGAATGGTAAAAAGACTTTGTGTTGTTTTGCGTTCGACCATCCGTCAGAGTGTGTGTGTGTGTGTGTGTGTGTGTGTGGGGGGGGGGGGCTGCTTCTGGAGCGGTGCGGGCGCTAACGAAGTTTGATTTATTTCTATATTGCTCCGCAAAGATGAACTTAAATATACTGTAGGGATCGAAATAAAGGCAAGGTGAAGCTCTCTCTCTCTCTCTCTCTCTCTCTCTCTCTCTCTGACATACTGACACCCCCTTTTTTCTTCAGCTCACTGGAGAAACGCTGTTCTGAGATCAGCCCCCGTCCCTCGATGTGACGGACCTTCCGGCCGAGCCCTGGCCGGCCAGGAAGCAGTTTTCCTGCGTTAGGAAATGTGACCTTTTGTCAGGCCGAGGTGGCCTCCCCGCTCGCTCTTTTGTTTGGATGTGCTGTGCAAATAAACAGATGCATCAGGGGGATGTATGCACATAACCCCCCCCTCCCGACTCTCTCAGGTCTTCCCCTGATATCACCGCCCTCGTCCTCGTAGAGCCGCTCCCTCAACGACGGCTCTCGCTTCAAGTGCGCCAACCGGGATCCAAATGCCACCTCTAATTAAAGGAGGCACATTGGGTTTTGTTGCTTTTCTTTTTTTTTTCTTTTTTACTGTCGGACCTATAAAATGTTTACGAGGAACTGAGCCTGCGATAATGCGCCGCCTTGCAAAACGCCAAGAAAAACAACTTCACAATCACACGGGAGAGCGTAAATCAGGAAGCTGAAAACAAAGTGTGCGTGAGAGTGTGTTCGGTAGCTCTCGTTTCTCTCGGGTTTTTTTTACTCATCGTCCAGTTTTGGAGCTCTGACAGCTCCGTTGACCTCGATCCTCTCTTGCGCTGCCTCTCTGCAGGGAGTGAGCAGCTTGAGAGTGTGGGCCCGCCACCTGTTGTCTCAGGCAGTGCTCTAACAGGAGGGGCAGCTTGTGATGGGAAGAGACAAGGGGATAGAGTGAAGATGGGAGATGGGCATGGACAGGCAGTGAAAGAGCCATTAGAGGAATGAAGGGGAGTGACAGAGAGGATGCTGGGAAGGCGAGAGATGGGAAGCATTTGGTTAAAAACAAGTAACCGGATGGCCAAGCGAGAGGCTGATTGAGATGATGTGACTGCCGTTAACTGGTTGTTTGGTGGGTGGAGGGGTGGGGTGTGTGTGTGTGTGTGTGTGTGTGTGTGTGTGTGTGTGTGTGTGTGGGTGGGTGGGGGGGATTGTAACCGAGCCTCTGAGTGTCTTCACTGCTGGAAACTGCAGACACACTGTGCACTTACATAACCGACAAACTTATGAAGTCCCTACGAACTTCTTGTAAGGTACTACGACTGATGCCGCCGTCCCTCTCACTAGCCTGTTTTGCATCATTTGCATAATATTCAGACTACTTTATTTTTACCTGCTGAGTGTGGCCGGCCCAGTGTTTCGGGTTTCAATTGACTTTCACACAGGAGAGGTACTATCCTGTGTTGCAATCAAAATTCACTTAGTGCAACAAACCCGCAGTGTACATTTGGGCACCTGAATTGTTGTTTAGTCTTTGAAAAGAGCAGCTAAAACGCATAATATTATTACAGTAATGTCCCTTTAGTGAACATAAAGGTAAGGGTGAGGAGATGCAGACCATGTATTGCCTCTGCACGGCTCTCAACATGGTGACCGCTGAGCCGGAGGCTCGCTGCTAACGTTGACAGTGACACTGACGGCGCTAACAGTGTTAACCTGACAGGGAGGGGAGGCTGAATGGAGAGCCTTTAACAGCTCATCACATGACCAAATGGGTCATCGTTTATTTGGTCATCCGTCTGTCGTTGACATTACTGCGGAAGCTTTTGGTGTTGAACATTGTCATAGGTTTAATCATCTTCAAAAGTTACTCTTTAATTAGATTATTATTTTTTTTCTACTTGGAAAGAAAGCAAACGACCTAAAACAACACACCAGTTATTTTATTCAGTACAGACAGCTACAGCTTGTTAGAATTCGTGAAAAGTAAAAGGTGTTTTTTGCTTCTTATTTTTTAATTCATTGTTCCTGGAGAGATAATAATAATAATACATTTTATTTGTATAGCGTTTTAAAAGGTACTCAAAGGCCCTTTACATGGCAAAAACAGAAACAATAAAAGCAATTAGATTATGAACAAAAGAGATGACGTGACAGTAAAGAACAAAAACACACATAACGAGCATCACAGGTGAGAAGCAGACTCAAGTTTTGAAAGTGGCGAGTGACGGAGAGTGTCTGAGGTGCTGGGGGAGGGAGAAAGCCCTGCCCCCCCTCCCCCAGGTCCGATGCTTGGACCGAGTGGGGTGAGGAGGTTGGCATGGTGGGAGCGTGTCGGTGCAGAAGCATGGCTGTGAAACAGTCCCGTGCTGCAGCTCTGCTGGTGGACAGTTAGTGATCTCCTCTGGTATCGATTTGTGGGAACAAACGTAGCACAATTCATTTTATTTTCCTCTTTCATCTTTTTTTTTTTATCTCTATAAATATTATTCTGTGCCCCCCCCCTCCACCC